AGTGATATCAGAATGGATATAAAAGGCAGCAGGACTAAGATTCCATCGGGAACAATAAATCTTGTATGTACTGCTTTTCCAGTTCAACTTCAAGTATCTTCAATTAATAGAGTGTAAGGACAGGAGAGTCAGTTAATTCATTTTTATGTCATTAAATCCATTGTCCTGAAAAACAACTGAAAATAGTGTGTAAGCAGCCTTACCTTCATTGTGTCTTCAGATTACAGAAACCAGATTCAGTAACTAAGACAAGGAACATTTATATGACCTCTAATGCTTCTGCTTAGGTCAGCGTAGGATAGATTTGTACAGGCAGGTTCTGTCCTTCCATCTGCAATATAAAGGAGTTCATTCTTCTCTCAAACAAATTCCATTGTATGTACTTTGATGAAGCAGGTAAAATAAAATTTGTCTATTTTTTCTTCCAGCTCTCTGAGGTGATGTATTAAAAGATGTTGCTTCTCCTCACAGACACTGAATCAATTACACGGATTTCTCTGTTTTGCTGCTGAGAGGTTACAGATCAGTAGCACTATGCTGTTCACTGATGTTGCAGTATCAAACCCTCATTTCAGAAGTTTTCTGATGACACAGCATTAGTATACAGCTCCCAGAAAGCTGAAATAACTCAGTACTCAGTAAAGTATCACACATGCTTGTCTTTGCAAGTCAAAGAAATAATGTGTGTGCATCTTAAAGCCAAGCAGAAGCTTAGTTACATATGTTTTCTTGGGACAAATCTACTTTCAGTTATTTTAACATGCTTAATAGAATGGTTTCATGTAAAATTCATTTATCATAAATACTACATTTCAAAACAGTGTGCAAACAGTACAGTGGATATTATTTTTGTAGTGTTATGATACAGTTACGTAGTCAAAAAAGTTAGTTACAAAAAAGTAGGCAAAATATCAAGAAGGAGAATTTTTTTATATATATATTTCAGTGTCTGCTGAAGTGAAACAGGGAATTTCTTTCCACTTTTATTGTTTTTGGATTAAGGTTCTGCAAAAAGAAGCTCGTTAGCTAAGTGGAATGTGTGATACTGATATACTGATTCAGGTAGGTGCTATAAAACTATTACAGAATTGCTGTTAATAGAACAGAGAGAAAGTCGTGGTCCTGTTTTAACTTTGGTTAAGGATATGTGTACCTTGGAATCAGCTACCTATTAGTGTCTGCAAAGATGAAAACATCTCTGTATGTTTATAAATAATATATAAATTAAACATTTTTTTTTTTTTTTTAAGAGAGAGAAAGTGTATGGCAACTGGAGAGAGGAAGATATTATCAGAAAAAAAAAAAACACCCAAACATTTATCTTTGATTCTAAGTATAGATATAGATCCTTAAATTTATACTTTAAGAACTGTGACCAATGTTTCAAAGTGCCTAAACTCTAGAAATATTTCGGTGATCTTCGCTTAGCTCAGTGTTAACTGGTTCATACCAAAATTAAATGCAAGAAATAAATATCTTTGCTGGGTAACTTATATTACTTGAGTTTAGTATTATCATAAAATTACAGAATCTTCTGAGTTAGAAAGTCATCTAATCCAACTCCCTTGAAATGAATATGAACAAGTTGCTCAGAGCCTGGGCCAGCCTGATCTTGAATGTCTCCAAGGTCAGGTGATCCATCCACCACCTCTCTGGGTGATTTCTTTCAGTGCCTCACCACCTTCATAGCAAAAAAAAACTTCTTTGTATCTAATGTGAATTTATCCTTTTATATTTTAAAACCATTTACATTTGTCCTATCGCAACAGACCTTGCTGAAGAGTCTGTCCTCTTCTCCTTATAGCCCTCCTTTAGATACTGAAAGGCTACTATCACATCTCCCCAGAGCCTTCTCTTTTCCAGGCTGAACAGTCCCAGCTCTTTCAGCCTGTCCTCACAGGGGAGGTATTCCATTTCTGCTCATGCTCTAACAGATCCATGCCTCTCCTGTACTCGAGAACTCCACGTCAGGATGGAGTACTCCAGATGTGGTCTCACCAATGCAGAGCAGAGGGGCAGGATCATCTACCTTGACCTGCTGACCACCATTCTTTTGGTGCAGTCCAGGACAGGAGTGGCTTTCTGGGCTGTGAGGGTACACACTGCTAGTTCATGTCCACTTGCTATTGACTAGTATCCCTATGCCCACTGTGGCAGGGCTGTTCTCTGTCCTTACATCCTTCAACTTGTACTGATACAAGGGGTTGGTTGCCATTACCATTGCCATTGGATGGGCTTCATCCTAGGGTGCTGAGGGAGTTGGCGGGGGTGATCGCTAAGCCGCTCTCGGCTATCTACCAGCGCTCCTGGTTGACTGGAGAGATTCCAGAGGATTGGAGGCTTGCTGATGTGACTCCCATCTACAAGAAGGGCCGTAAGGAGGATCCGGGGAACTACAGGCCTGTCAGCCTGACATCAGTGCCAGGGAAAGTCATGGAACAAATCCTCCTGGGAGAGATCACACAGCTTGTCCACAGGATCAGGCCCAGCCAGCATGGGTTCATGAAAGGCAGGTCGTGTTTGACCAACCTCATCTCCTTCTACGACTGGGTGACCAAACTGGTAGATGAGGGAAAGGCAGTTGATGTAGTCTACCTAGACTTCAGCAAAGCCTTTGACATGGTCTCACACAGTATCCTTCTGTGGAAACTGGCTGCCCATGGCTTGGACAGTTTTACACTCCGTTGGATAAGGAACTGGCTGGAGGGCCGTGCTCAACGGGTGGTGGTCAATGGAGTGAAGTCCAGCTGGAGACCTGTTACAAGTGGTGTCCCCCAGGGGTCGGTACTGGGGCCCATCCTGTTTAATATCTTCATTGATGACTTAGATAAAGGGATTGAGTGTACCCTGAGTAAGTTTGCAGATGACACCAAGTTGGGAGGTTGTGTCGATCTGCCTGAGGGCAGGGGATCTAGGTAAGCTGGATCGCTGGGCTGAGATGAATGGAATGAGGTTTAACAAGGCCAAGTGTCGGGTTCTGCACTTTGGCCACAACAACCCCAGGCAGCGTTACAGGCTTGGGGATGAGTGGTTGGATGATTGTGAAGAGGAAAGGGACCTTGGGGTGTTGGTTGATGCTCGGCTGAACATGAGCCGACAGTGTGCCCAAGTGGCCAAGAGGGCAAACGGCATCCTGGCCTGCATTAGAAATAGTGTGGCCAGCAGGAGCAGGGAGGTGATCATCCCCCTGTACTCAGCACTGGTGAGGCCGCGCCTCGAGTACTGTGTTCAGTTTTGGGCCCCTCACTACAAGAAAGACATTGAGGCCCTGGAGCGTGTCCAGAGAAGGGCAACGAAACTGGTGAGGGGTCTGGAGCACAAGTCTTATGAGGAGAGGCTGAAGGAGCTGGGATTGTTCAGTCTGGAGAAGAGGAGGCTCAGGGGAGACCTCATAGCACTCTACAACTTCCTGAAGGGAGGCTGTGGTGCAAAAGGGTCTGGCCTCTTCTCCCAGGCAAATAGTAGGACTCGAGGAAATGGCAAGAAGTTATACCAGAGGAGGTTTAGGTTGGATATTAGGAGAAACTTTTTTCTCTCAGAGGGTGGTCAGGCACTGCAATGGCTGCCCAGGGAGGTGGTGGAGTCGCCGTCCCTGGCAGTGTTCAAGAGGCGCCTGGATGAGGAGCTATGAGAGATGGTTTAGTATCTTGTGGCACTGATAGGAATGGGAGGGTGGTTGGACTAGATGATCTTGCAGGTAGTTTCCAACCTTGTGATTCCGTGATTCTGTGATTACCCATGTGCAGTACCTTGCACTTGGATTTTTTGAACCTCATGAGGTTCTCCTTGTCCCACTGACAAAGGCTGTATAAGTCTCTCTGAGTGGCATCCCATCCCTCAGTCATCTTGACCTTATCACATAGCTTGTTGTCATCCACAAACTTGATGAGAATGTACTTGATCCCACTGTTAATGTCACTGCTGATGATATTAAAGAGCATTGGTCCCAGTACTGACCCCTGAGGAGCACCACTTGTTACTTTCTCTATTCAGACATTGAGCCAAGGACCACCACTCTCAAGGTATGACTAGGCTAAACTTTGTTCATCAGTCCACCTTTCAAATCCACACATTTTGAATTTGAAGAGAAGGATATGATGGGGACTATGTCCAAGTCTCTACTGACATTAAGATAGATGACATCAAGCATTTTCCTCATCCGCTCATGTAGTTATGCCATCGTGAAATCCACTAATTAGCTTTTCAAAATTAGTTCTTATTTGTAACACTGAACATTATAAATCGCATTTTCTTATATAATAGCAGTATCTAATAGCTTTTCCCTGAAATGAGCTTGTTGCTGAAGAAACAAAAATTGGATTCGCTACTTTTGAACATTTTATATTTTTTCTTTGTCAAATCCTAACCATTTTAAATGCATAGGTTTTCTTCAGTTTTGTTTCTTTTGCGGGGTAATTTGATAAATTAATGCATATGTTGTAAAGCAAACAAGTGTCTGGCAGTTAGTACATAGCATGATAACAGAATTGCTCTTTGATTTGCGTAGTAGTGTTCCTGTTAAAAATTCTGCTAGCCAGTCTTTGAGATTAAATTCTTTTATATAGAATGAGTGTGTTAAGTCAAATGATGTGAATCTGCCTAAACCACTTTCTTCTTGTATCAAGCAGTCTCAGAATTCTATAATAATCCTTCCTTCCTAAAACTTTGGAATTGTTTTTTAGACACAGTCTTTGTTTCTGTGTTTAATTGTTACAATATCAATATGTCTTATGTACTTTGATACATTCAATAAAGTGCACTAGCACAGCAAAATATCATGGCTCAGTATTAACTGATTCATAGCAAGCAAAGAAATATATTTCCAAGAATAAATAAGAATTGTAATTATTTTTTTTTTTAAATTGGCAGCAATACCTGTAGACAGTATCTTCTAGAACTAACCATGCAAAGGCAGATATACATATGCAATAATAACACCAAAAACAAGACCACTACTGTATTGTAATTAATAAGTCATTCTCTTCTCTGAGGCAGTTCTTTTGTTTATTACATAATCCTAGAATGCAATGACATAGCAAGTATCAACTAGTAACAGTGTTACACTATCTCCAGCTCTAAAATTAGACTCCTCATCTGGTTTTGGACTAACGGGCTTACAGCAGGTCAGAAAAAGACTCGTGTAAATACTAAGGACAGAGCACTTTCTAAAAAGTAAGCAGCTAATCAGCAGTATTTAACCTGTAGGAAAAAAAAAAAATTACTGTGCTTTGACTAATTATAGAAATATTTATAAGGCCCCATCCATACAGAATTCAGAGATTTACAGTGCTTTCCTTCACACACACAACAGTCTGGCTGAAGATTTGGCCCTGAAAGCATTGCCCCAGCAATCTTTACATTAAGATCTGCAGCAGTGAACTATGGCATCAAGTTAATTACAGGTGACAGAATTTATTGTGCTATCGTGTACCAATAAAAAATCTCAGTTGTCATATTCTTCCAGATAAAGATTTTTCGCATGCTTTGAACCATTAGGACAAGGTGATCCAGTGGTCCTGAGGACAATAACAGCATGCATTACTGAGGGATATTTAAAAAGGTGTATGTCATTAAAACTTGCTTACAACGTGCAATTGAACTTCAGTGCTATTTTCTACTCGGAACTTCACAGTCTGATGAAAAACTAACTACCAAATGGGATTATTATGTTTCTAACATTTCTAATGAATAAACAGCTTTCTTTCAAACAACCAACACAGAAGATTGTTTTTATGTGTTATTACTCTGAGTTACATTACCCAGTTAAAAATACCCCATATGTAAGGGAATCTACTCCTCTGAACACAGAAAATAGGCAGTTATAGAAATTCAAACAACAAAATGTTCCCTCGTGTTACATAAGAAGACTGGAGAAACCAGCAGACCATCTAGCAAAAATAAAAGTGTACTCACTGTACTGAATGTGAACTTGTGGAGGCTTTTTTCTTAGCGTAAAACCAGCCAGCATTCCTTCACCCATCAACTATTTTGAACATGCACTGGAAATCAAGGGTTGGCAATGAAGACAAACACATCGCTTTTCTACAAGGGAGGCATTACAAAGAAGTTGTTCTTACATGGTAAATAATAGAAACTCACTGAAGAGTGGGATGAAATAATGCAGTTCTTCCAGTACTTTGCTGCGTGGGTGAATATGGACATGAATCTGCCAGTCTTATTTCGAACTTCTGAAGAAAACACAATGGCTCAGCTGTGAAAAATTTCCTGGACTGTCAAGTAACTAGAAGGAAAGAAAAAGAAAACAACAATAAAGACTGATAATGCTCTGCTTTACCTAACATAGTAATTATAACCTCATGTGCTGTTTTATCTCCTCACAATTACTTGACCCTGTGCAAATGTTTCAATATATTGATATTACAATGAAAAACAAGAAGACAAAAGCGTGGTTTTATGAACATGCCTCTTTCAGAAGCCCTATTTATTAGTATGCCAGTTTCAAATTTAGCGTTAACATATATTAAGCTAGGAAGAGAGTCACTATCATGTTAATATCTAGTAGTCATTGTAATTATGAAAAAACAATTAGATATGTGTTGCATCACCTTGATTGAATATCCCTGTGATGCATCTCTAGTTTACATCTACTGACCTCCTGATCCTCCGGGAGATTAGCAAAAATGAACCAAATAAAACAGACTTCTCACCTGCGGTTTGGTTTCCAAATGGTATTCAACACCCAGCGTGTACATCTTCTGTCATCCTGGTCTATATTTGTGCTGTCTGTTTTCATGTCACATCACCAAAATCTTTTCTCCTTAGGCTTGTTTTGAAGTGTTAAAGATGACGTCTCAGCCAGATGGAGAGCCAGCTCCAGGTACAAGAGGTGTACCAGCAGAACCAGGAGTTACTAGGGTAGGAAAGTACAGGATGGCATCCCTTTTTGGTGCTGTCTGCCACACTGTGGGGTCAGCTTACAGCTCCCCAGGGAGAAATGCACGTCATCTCCTCGCACAGCAATTAAAGACCGCTGTGACATTTTAGGATTTGGCGTCCTCAGTGGGTGAACCCAGCACCTGCCTGTATGGCAGCATGAGGCCTTTTGGCTCAAACATCAATCCCAAACCCCACAGAAACAGGGAGGCTGCAGCGTGTGTCCTTCGTGCAGCCCCTGTGCTTGAGTCAGAGATCGCTGATGTACGGCAGTGCCCCATTTCTGCTGCGGTATGACGCGGGATTGCTGAAGTCGCTGCAGATTTGGAGAAAAGACAGATCATCTCCAGAAAGCACTCCCCATGCAACTTGCCCACATGCGTGGGGCACAAGCCCCATTTTGGGGGCAATGACTCACACCCCCCTGTCACAGCCGTGCGCCGAGGGCACCATCACCCCCCTGTGCACAGCCATCAACCTGTCCCAGGACTCCACGCACCCCACAGGCATCCCTGCCCCCGTCCTCAATCCCATGGTGACATCAGCATGGACTGAATTGGGGCAGGGGATGTGGGGGGACTTGAGACATGAGGGGATGTGTGGAGACACAGGGACATGTGAGGACATGGGGGGACATGGGGAGGAGGTGTGGGGTCAGAACTACAGAGGTGAGATGAGGTGACATGTAGAGGTGACACAGGGAGGTGGCAGGCCGTGCCAGGAGGTGCTGGTGCCATTTGAGCAGCACTGCAGGGCAGATGAGCAGCACCAGCCCAACCTGGGGGTGATGGTGACACTCCAGGATGTGGAGATGCTATTGGTTTTCAAGCAGGAGTTCGTTATCTATACATAATACTGCACTTGTTTGTTTTTGTTTTAGTTTTTTTTTATTTGTTTGTTTTTTTTTTTTTAAGTCAGTGATAGTATGCAGCCTGATCCCATGTCTTTGAAAAGTGTAGTTTAAGGATTGTCAGCTGAGAACAGCAGCAGAACATGGGGTCGTCGCAGGGGGAAGGAACAGGGAAGGAAGTGAGGAAAGAAAGGAGAAAGCCTGAAAAAGGAATGGGGAAGGCACAGGGCGAAGGAAAGGGCAAGACATAGGGGAAGGAGGGGGAAAAGGACAGAATAGCTGTAGAGCAGCCTAAAAAGCAGCAAGAAGCTCTGGGAGGACTGTCAAGTGCCAGATTCTGTATCAGGTGTGTATCTGTGTGCATATGTTGCCATTACCTGCTTTGGTCAGGGTTCTTGTCAGTTCTGAGCTCCTGCAGTGGGAAGAGCTCGAGCAACTGGTGCAGTCGCTGCAGTCCTGTGCGATGGGGGAGTGCTTGATAAGGACAGCCCTGCAGCCCTCAGCTGGACAAATTTGCTCCATGTGCCCAGACTGGGAGCTGCACAGTGCCCAGCCGCACTTCTCCAGCTCAGAGCCCGCTGCCTGCAGCTGCATCTTTGCTTCCTTCCCTCCTGCCCAGAGCCTTGAGGGTGCTCCCACAGTCCCCTGCCCACCCCCAAAATGTCACAGAAGACAGCTGGTAGCGAGCTGCAGGAATCCCAGCACCCTGTTTTCCTTCTGCCTGCAGCTCTCTCCTCCTCTGCCACACAGGGCTCCAGCCTGCAAAATGCGAATGGTCGGGGGGAAAGGGAGTGCTGGCAGGACCGACTGCTGCAGCTGGCCGGGGAGGGTCTGCATACCCTGTGCCCTTCTGGGCTATCTGTCCAGATGCAGGAAGACCAGGGTAGGGCAGCTGAGAAGCTGCCCCCATCAGAGGGGGGAACAAGCTGTCCTTCCACAGTGACATTCCTCTCACAGCCAGATGCACCCACACAACTCTCGGGCCATCTTGCCAATGGCAGCTGTGACACATCAATTCTTTCTAGGCAGGTGAATTAATTTTTTTCCATCTGTAAACTTTAGGGGGAGAACTGCAGTTTTTGGTAATCTTTGTAGGAACACTGTCATGGTCCACACAGAACTCAAAACTGCAGCTTTGTGCTAGATCTGGCTGCTTAGACTTGCTAGGACCTAAAACTTCCCATTTTATGGCATGACAAGAACAAAAAGCTAAAAATGAAACCCGCAGGGAAAGAAAGGCTTTTGAAGAAAAATACATGGAAGTATAAACAAGACAGAGGCTGAGTGAACATTCATATGGCCCTGCACTTTCTGCCAATGGGCTCTAATCCCATTATTGTTAAATTTGCTGGGCAGTTGCATTTTGGTATTTGAACACTTAGAAACAATGCAACAGACGCTGGCAAAAAGAAAGAAGAAAAAAAGAAAAAAAACTTTTTTTTTTTTTTTTTTTTTAAAGCTATTTATATGCACTTGGCACAGCTCTCCTGGGTTTGGAGTAGTTTCCCTCTTTCTTCTTCGTCTTTCCCCCCACAACCCCTCCACTTCTAACTTCGTGCTCCTCTCCCGTCCTCACAGCACACACACCGGATCGCCAGGCACTGCGCCGCCGCTCCCCCAGTCCCGTCGGAAAAGTTCTTTCCGCGGTCTCTGCTGCCACCTCCTGGCCAATGCGCGGTACGGCCGCTGCGTCCCGCAAGCATCACAACGCATGCGCGTACAAAATGCGGAAGTGCCGTTCTAACCGCTCTACTCAGCTAATCCGCCGCCTCTCTATGGTCATCAGTCCTCCAGGTAATAGCGAACATAGCGGCGAACAGCCCCGGCCCGGCAGGTGATTTCGCATGATTAGTTTCGAGTACTCACCTACGCGTGCGTTGTTTTCGACTCCTCATTACGCGTGAGAGGGGCGCAGGGGCCGCTGGGAGCCACAATAGTCTGTTCCCGAGGCAGGCTCCAGGAATCGACTGCTTGTCTGCACCTCGAGGCTTTGTAGCTTTGAATGCTAGTTATGAGTGTCCTGGCGCATGCGCTCTGTTGCCTCGAGGACTAACCATAACAAAGCTCGGCGGATTTGCTGCGCAGAGCGAGGAACACCACCGCCGCGTGCCTGTGCGCATGCGCCCTAGTGCCTGCGGCGCCAAACAAACACGGCCGCAATTCCAGCTATTGGCCACGAGGGGGCACCGGAGACCGCGGAAACAACAACGACTGGCTCGACGCGCAGCCGCGCCGCAGCTTTTGGCGCTCTTCTCCCTGCCGTGATGGCAGAGGAAAAACGCAGTTTGATGGGGGTTGAGGGAGGAGAAAATTACATCAATTGGAAAAAGACGAAGAAAACCAAGGAAAACTTCTCTACACCCAGCAAACCTCTGCTAAGCACGTAAGAATATTATATCTTAAGTCTCACTTCTTTTTTTTAAACCAACTGTCACTGGAGCACTGTCAGTAGATGTACCAGAAATATTGACAAGGGTTAAAGAAAATTGTTCTAATGTTGTTTTGGTTTGTTTCTACTTCACATAAATCAGGAGAATTATTTGTTTTTCAATGCCACCAAAGGAGCCATTTCTTCACTGATATTGAAATTCATTATGGATGCCTCTAACAAAAATGATTAGTTGAGCCATTGTATTTAACATGAGCATTTTCACCCACAGCCAAAGCATAGGAATTGATTAGCAGTTTAACTCTCCAAATTTTGTTCAAAAGACTTTCATATTTCTTCAGTTCAGCTGGCTACAGTCTTGTGAGACAAACTCACAATCAGAAAATGGTTTTGATTTTTTTGCTATCAGATTTGCTGCCACATTATCAAGTTTTATTAAGGATTCCCTTTGAGTTTTAACTTGGTTCAAAGTTATTTGTTAAGGTGACAGGCTATTTCTAGTTGTGCTGTTTTGTTTTTACAAAGCATTTCTTGATGTGCAGCACATTTTGCAATGTGTTTCTGCCTATAATTTTGTTTCAGGATATGTTTGCATCGGAGAGACAGGGTGTCTCAGGAGCAGAGGCAAGTGAACTACACAGTCAGAGCAGCACAGAGTTACGAGTTTTATTTGGCATGTGCACACACACAGGTATCCATTTTTGATAGCCCCAGAAGATGGCAAGCAGAAACTCCCTAAGCAAGTGCAATAGGAGCACTAGTAAGCTAAACCAGAATCTCTCTAAGCAAGCACAATATTACTTACTGACCTTGAGAGAGGGATGGTCTGTTCTGTTTATTTTTTTTTTACGATTTACAATTTTTTTACAATCACGAGGAGCTCTTAGTTGTATGCTGCTGTGTTTGTTTTCCTCGGTTCGTTTTCCTTCCTGATGTACAGCAGGTGCTGGTAGCAGAGTCCCTGTTCTCTGTGAGTGACTTGTGCTGAACCAGTGTTTATTGAGCTCTGATCTGCAGGATTAAACACAGCTACTTGTGTGGAATGGTGGTTTGCACTGCTTTGAATTTAGTCCTGCTGGCCAGAGATGGACGAGGCAGGGATGTTCAGATACTGAGAAATGTGTTGGTGTTTGATACTCGTGGTGCCTTAATGCCCTTACCTACAAAGAACGGTGAAGGCAGTTGGAAGACAGGAAGGTGACAAGTTGGAATCATATTGTGAGCCCAAATTCAGCAAACCATTACTGCCAAACAGGGGCCTCAGGCATATGTTTTAAGCTTTTCTGATTCCTATGAGTCTTGAACGTCTGTTTATAGGCTTGCAGTGCAGGTGCCTAGGAGCCATGTTTTTCCTAGGGAGAGCGGTGTGTTTGCGTACCTTGTGTGCTCTTCAGCAAGGGCATGGTAAAAACCAGTCCTGGATGTTGGGTGAGGAGCAGGGAGAGAGGCGAGCCCAGTCAGCGATGGCAGTCCTGAGCCAACGGGTTTCTGTGCCTCTGTCTAGAGCAGAGACGTTTGGAAACTTTCAGATTAGCTTTGATAAGCCTCTGGATGCTTTTCGTGACCAGTTCAGTCCTCTCGAAAGCTTGAGCTTTGTCCATCATTAATTTTCAAATTAATTACACGGAAAAAATATTTCTTAAAAATAGAAACAATAATGAATATGCTAGTAGTGTCACTGCCATGGAGGAGCACAAAGTAGTAGCCAAGCGATAGGAAAAAAAGAATGCCCTTTGTTTCTTTTCTCTAGGATCTCAAGAACTATTGATAAACATGAAAATATTTAATATGTGCATAAAAAAGGATAGGAGTACTAACAATTGGAAAAAATAATGTGAGGTACCCAAGTTTCACCCCAGGTCAAAAAGCTTTGGAACTCTCCAGAGTAGAGAACAGTTTCTCTGGTTTTTCATTTTGCTGAGCACCGAAAGCATCAGAGAGGACTTGCTGGCATTTTGCTGGCACCCCCACCAGCTCCCTCAGCAGCCCAGGACGGAGCCCATCTGGTCCCATGGGTGACAGTCCAGATGGAGGAGGAGCTCTCTGACTGTCTCCACCTGCATCCCTGGGGTGTGTTCTGGGTAGCATCCCAGACTGCAGATTGGGGCATAAAGTGCCCTGATGATAACTGATCTGCCTTTTTACAGGCAGGTGTAAAGAAGGCATTGAGGACCTCAGCCTTCTGCTTATCCTCAGTGGTCACATTCCCCGTTGCATCAAGAGAAGGGTGGAAATTCTCCTTGGTTCTTCTCTTACCACTGATATGTTTACAAAAGGATTTCTTATTTCTTACTGTGGTGGCCAGTCTGAGGTCAAGTTGGGCTTTGCCTTCCTTTTGACTTGGGGGAAAACCTCAGCAGTTCCCTGTGTGCCGAGGGAAGATTTCATGCCCTGGCCTACACACAGCCCAGCTTTCCCCGCTCTGCGCTGCCGGTGTCCCCCACAGCCCCTGTGCTGTGACAAATGCCAGCGGGGCTCGGGCCCAACGCCCCCCCTGCTGCACGCCCTCCCACATCCCCACGTGCTGCACCCGCACCGGCTGCCCCAGCCCCAGCCCTCCTGCAGGCAGTGCAGCCCCGGGCGCCGGGCTCAGACCCAGCCCCGAGGAGCTGCTGCAGGTGACTCAGCCCTGCTGGATCCAGACCCAGACCTAGGATGCAACGACTGGCATTTGCAGAGGAAGCTGGCTTTCTCTTTGCAACTGGCTCCTTTCCTCGGGGCTGAGCTCTGGGCCGCAGGCACGTTCTCCCGCTGCCCTCTCCTCCTCCCCGCTCCCAGCGCTGCTCTTCATGCCATCCCACCCACACCTCAACTCCTCGTGCCTCATCGGGAGGCTGATGTGCAGGCCATGGCTGCTGTGTGCAGCTGGGCTTCCCAGGGCAAACGGCAGCCCTCAGCACAGCCCAAGGCTGAAAAAGCCACCAGGAAGAGAGGCAAGTTCAAGGGGCTGAGTGCAGGGACACCTTTCTTCGTCCTGGGCTGCTTCCCCTCCTTCGTGCTTTTGCTAGCGGTCCTTGGAGAGCAAAGGGATGCTCACAGCCTGTGGCCAGCAGTTACAGGTGGGC